ATGGTTATAGGAACAATTCAGTAACTGGTGTTGGTGGAATGTTTACGTTTGGTAACTTGTTTCCAGGGAGTTTCTATCTTCGACCCTTATTGAAGGTACGTTGTCTAAAATGCTATAAGTGCCATGCTTGCATCACAGTCAACTTTTTCTCTCTCACTAACTTTTTGGGACTTCAGCGTGCCATATATTTTATTTTGATCTGTGACACATGCTGCATTTAGAGTGCACAGTTCTGACAAAGTTATCCTCTGGAAGGTCAAAACGAAAGAATCTAAAAACCAATTTTAATTACATAAGTTCGTCCTCCCTGATTTCTTATGTTTTCCCTCATTCACATGCTTCACTCATTCTTTATTGAAATCAAATTATGGAGTAGGAGCATTGCGTTATTATTCACGCATCATTAGATAAGGTTTCAAGTTTATTGAGATAGTATTGGGTGTTCATATGACATCACTGTGCAGTAGATATTATAGTAAATGTTTGTTACTCTTTTCTTGCTTCCAGGAATATGCTTTCTCTCCTCCTGCACAGGCAATTGAACTTGGCTCTGGGGAATCCAGGGAAATCGTCTTTCATGCCACTCGTGTTGCTTATAGGTATAACTGTTTGTTGGTCTTTTAGTAATAATCTGTTACAATTGACGTGATGAATGTTAAGAATTGATTGTCAATGTGCTAGAGTTTCTTTATTTCCATTCAAGTTCTTCCTTCATTATAGCTCTGACTTTCTTTGTAAACTGTTGATGCTATCCTTTTCCTATCAAGAAGCCTTCATTGACTCCCCTCATGTTTTGTATTCTGCCTTTTCTGCAAATCTCACATCATTTTATATGATTTCTTGAAGTTTTCTAATCATTATTCCAACTCTCTTTAACAAGTTATCAGTTGTGGATTTTCTGAATTGCTTACTGGGAATGTCATGGTTAATTGTTCTCAGATATGTTTTCTTCATGCCCTAACTTTACATTTGCAAGTCACCTTACTTCATTTGTGCTGCTTCTTGGCATAAACTTTTATATTATGTATATTCTTCTTCATCTAAAACCACCTTTTTCCACCTCATATGTTTAATATCTTTCTCACACACACACACACGCAGGATTTTTCTGTTTTTGGTTACTGGGAATGTCATGGTTAATTGTTCTCAGATATGTTTTCTTCATGCCCTAACTTTACATTTGCAAGTCACCTTACTTCATTCGTGCTGCTTCTTGGCATAAACTTTTATATTATGTATATTCTTCTTCATCTAAAACCACCTTTTTCCACCTCATATGTTTAATATCTTTCTCACACACACACACACGCAGGATTTTTCTGTTTTTGTTGGATAAGCCCTCTCTTGTGATAATTCATTTTCAGCTTCCTTTTATACCTAGTAGTTTTTGACCTGACCATGAATTGCTTCACTCTCTTCACAGTGCCATTGGCAGAGTAACTCTCTTGTCTGGTCAGTCTGTAGAAGGTATCACTGTGGAAGCTAGGGCTGACTCAAAAGGATTTTATGAGGAGTCTGGAACAGATTCATCAGGCAGTTATCGCCTAAGGGGACTCCAACCTGATACTACCTATGTAATAAAAGTAGCAAGGAAGGGTGAACTTGATAGAGCACGTATTGAACGTGCATCTCCGGAGTCTGTTACTGTAAAGGTCAGTTCACTTTTTGACATTTCTGTGATGTAAACAGGGCAGTACCATGTTTTTGTCAATATATTAATGATCTTTCGGCTCACACTACAATTTCTCTTAGTCTTTGCTCTGTTATGCTGTGTTTCATATCAACAGTTGATTATACATAATTTTTATTGAATAGTTCTGTGCTATCTTGACCAATAAATGTAATTTCCTTTCTGCTGTTGCATACCCGAGTCAGTGGTGAAGATTCCTTATATGATGATTTCTTGATTATCCACAGCCCATTCTCTGTCTCCATGTTATTACTGAATATGGTGCTTGTTTTACAAATTGGGACAACGATGGGATTTAGTAGAAGAGATTAAAGGATAATAGCCATGGTTGGTTGTCTGGTTTAGAATATTTCATTTTCCTTTGATCATGTATTACTTTATGATGTAGTGACAGTGGATATGGTTTATTTTTCCGTTTTCTTTGAGGTAAGTTGGTCATGGGTTTGTGTTAAATTATTCTCCTTCAAAGAATTATTAGTTCCAGAAATGCTTATTAAATTTGTGAAAAATCTAGAAAATAGTGTTATAATATTGTTACAAACAACTGAATCACAGTGACTGTTAGGTGGTTTTGACATGTTTTGCACATACCGAAAGAGGTTCCTGTTGACGCAATTTCAGTAATTGAAGTTAGAATAGGGAAGGTAATACCCAAACTAACGTGGCCAGTTGTGGTTGAAAATGATCTAGCTGCCTTAGATCTCCCAGTAGATTGAATCATGAACAAGGGATGAAAAAAAAAAAAAAAAGATTGAGGTAGCTGATTCCAAATTTAATGAAAACATGGCTTAGTTTCTTCTTCTCGGGATTATTTACATGTTTAATGCTCTTGGTTGATTATTGCTTATCAAGAATCCATGCTTGTGCATTATATGACTAAATCTAATTTGATTCTCTGAATATGCACTCGAGATTTCTTTGCAATATGTTCCCAGACTACTCTTTTCATGTTTATTGTTCTTAATCTGACTCTCTCTTCCTTGTTTTGTATCTATACATTTTCCTCACCTATATTTGTTTGATCTCTATTTTGCAGGTCGGGCACGAGGACATAAAAGGATTAGATTTCGTGGTCTTTGAACAGCCAGAAACGACTATTTTAAGTGGCCACGTTGAGGGGAAAAAGATCAAGGAGCTGAATTCACATATCCGGGTGGAAATCAGGTTGGCTAGTGATCCATCGAAGATCGAGTCCATCTTTCCCTTGCCATTATCAAACTTCTTTCAGGTGAAGGACTTGTCGAAGAGTAAGCACCTTCTGCAGCTCAAATCTGCTTTACCGTCCAGTGCTCATAAATTTGAATCTGAAGTTATTGAGATTGACTTAGAGAGACACCCTCAAGTTCACGTTGGTCTATTAAGCTATAGAATTGAAGAGGACATCCATAAACAGGTAATCTTTAGCAGTTCAGCAATGGTAGTTTCTTCAAATAAGCACTTGCAACCTTAGTGCTAGCGACTTATCTCTAACCCATGGATGTCTGTATTTCGGGTTTTTACACTTGATTTTTCCAAGAATTTCTTTACAACTTTCTTCATCACTGAAATTTTTTGGTCGTCTATTCGGCAATATTGAATTCAGGTAATTTCTGTAGAGGAACATCCAAGTTGATAAATCTGTAAAAGCAATAATATGTTTATGTTCTTTCATGGCCTACAGGAATTGACTCCGGCTCCTGTGTATCCCTTAGTTGTTGGAGTTTCAGTGATCACCCTCTTTGTTTGTATGCCAAGGTAGCTGGAATGGTTTCAGTTCGTTTTTTCATCACGAATGTTGTATTTCTTTTGACATCATTAGCTCTGACTAAATGCAATGAACTTCCACATTTGTAGATTGAAGGATTTATACCAAGCCGCAATGGCATCTGTTTCAGCGTCATCCACGACTGCAAAGAAAGACGTTAGAAAGCTGGTCGTGAGAAAAAAGACGTACTGAAGAGTTGTTTTCATGACTTCTATAGCATAGAGGTCAGTTAATGGTAACTAAATTATCATTGACATCTTCACCCTCATGTCTGAAAACTCATAAGCTTCAGCTGGATGATTTTTAACACTTCTGTTAAGCCCATTTCTATTTGCACGTTGAATGCTTTTTTTGGCTAACCTTGGAGCTGTAAAATTGTCTTTTTTCTGTTACATCAATAGACAAATGGTTTGTGACTTTGAATTATATGATAGTTGGAGAGCTGAATCTTGTTGAATGTAATTATAGACATGTTTTTAGAGGACAATGTACTCCGTTTTAATGCCTGTTAGGCATGTTAGGTACAAACAGTGAATAGTACAAATAATTTTTTGCATTCCACCCCCTTACTTATTCAAATGTAAACATTCACTTTTGTCCGTAAATAACTTGCTTATTTGGTCATTCCGCTAATGGAATTACTCGTATTCTTATTAGTCTGATCGGTATAGTTTAGAATCGACTGACATTGAAGTGTAGCATGCATGGATGGGCACATGAATTCAATGTCGAAATGTTGGTAATAAAGACCGTAGGTGAAATTATATTTGGGTATAATACCTGAAATATATAATATTTGAACTTTCACATTTGGTCACTAAACTTTTTTCTGAAATCTCCATTTAGTCAATGAACTTTGATCTGTCTCCGTTAGACAATCAAACTTCAATCTGTTTTCGGTTTTAATCACTCTGTTAGTCCAGTTGCTAAACTTTTAATGTCACAGTCGTGCGTAAATGTTAAAAATTGACAATAATCTCTGTTACATTTCTAAATACGTAATCACATCGTGGTTGTAAAATTTTAAAAAAATAAAATCGTGTTTAGAAATTAGTGGTAATGATCCTCGAAAGCATGCTAAAAACTCTGTTCATCTCTAATTTTTAGATCTTGCCGTTACGACATGATTATGTGATGTATTTACCTGGTTAACGGAGGATTAGTACGTTCAGTTCAGTAACGGGGCTTAAGGAGTGACTAATATTGCAAGTACATTGATATGATTGTGTAAATTAAAGTTGGGTGACCTAATTATAATTTTACTGAAAGTTCAATAATCAAAAATAAAATTAAGCGATTCATTGGCTACTTTTAATATAATTTTATCTAATACCATCCAATCGATTTTATCAAATGGCCACTACCGTATATGTTTACACTAGACAAGACAATAAACAAATATTTCAAACATTTCTTTTCTTTGATTCTATCCAATTTTATGTACCATTTAATACATGCTAATCGATCCTTCAAGAGGCTATATGACGGTATAGTCAGGCTAAAATTTTTGAGCAAAAATGTTGTTATTTTCTTTACTCTATAAAATTAGCCAATAAAATTGTTTAGTCCAACCTAAGTAAATGTCTACTCAAACTTTTATAGATTAGGGTTCGTTCAGCGTGATTTTTGAAAAGCTAAAGTTATTATTGAGATTAAGAGACTATTTTTGAACATATTTAAATAATGTTTTGCAAGTGATTTATGTGGTTATAAGAGTTTTTGAAGTAAGAGAATCCTCAAAAGTTCTAGAAAAAACATAAATAGAAGTTAAACCAGAGATTTTTTTTT